TTTTTTTTTTTTTTTTTTTTTTTTTTTTTTTTTTTTTTTGTCAGCGTCTCCTTGACGTTCTCCTCCACATCGGCGCCGATCCGGTAGTGGCCTCCTCGACGTTTTTTTTTTCTTTTTTCATTTTTCTTTTTGTCGGCGTCTTTAAATCCATCCATCCATCCACCCATCCATCCATCCACCCATCCACCCATCCACCCATCCATCCATCCATCCATCCATCAATCAACCAATCAATCAATCAAACGATTGATCGAGGATAATGTCGAATCGATTGATTCGATAGGATCTTGATATGTTGGGTGGAGGGGAGGAGAAGGAGGAGGAGGAAGAAGAAGAGGGCGAGGAGGAGGACGAGGAGTAAGAGGAGAAGGACGTCGAGGAGTATGAGGATGGCGAAGAAAAAGGAGGAGGAAGACGAGGTGGAGGAACAGTGTCGGTGCGACTACCCTGACAAGGGTATCCGCCCTTGTTTTTGCAAGTGACCGGAAGTACAAGTAGAGGTCTAAAGTGTACTGCGCGGGACGCGCCTAAGTCTGTTTGGTTACATAAGTAAGATGCTTGATTAGAGTAGAGCGGGTGTGGGCGCGCGGGATTAAGGCGCGCGTGTGATCTTTCTAAGTTGATCGAACGGCCGGCTTAGTCGGCCGGCCTGATGTTGTTGTCAGGGATAGAAGGCGTTTTCACTTCGAGTGGTTGACTACTGGCAGGCCGCCTTACGAGGTAGGGCACGAGATGGCCATGGTACGGAGGCCTAGTGACCGCAGGCCTAGTTAGAAGGAATGAGGGCTGGGCTGCATCCCAGGCCTGGGGGCTGTGACACACCTGTTCATATGGAATATCGCGCAGGCTAATACTAGGCTTGGGCTTAGAGGTATAGGTTACGGTATCGGACTGTCACAGTGGAGGTACAGGGATTGAGGCCAGCGGGCGGCAGCGCCAGCGCAGAAGCGTTGGAGCGTTGAAGAGCTAAGGGGTTGAGGACTATCCCTTTTGGTTTTGCTAGGGGAGTCCGAGCACGGGCCCGTGTATTTTAGAGTTTGTGGTTTTCTATATTTCGTTGTTGCTTTTTTATTTTATTATTTTTTTTCTTACTTATATATATATATATATATTTTTATTTATAATGCTTGCTTTGGTTGAGCCAATACCAGTTCAGAGCATGGGCCGAGGGTCCAGGAGAAGGGCGCTAGTGAAAAGGGGGGGGCGAACCGTGAGACGGTAACCCGCGTTGTGGGTCATAACTACTGCTATAAGATGGAGGGCAGGACTAAGACTTTCCGAAGGCGACCTTCCGGACGGTCGTCTGCAACAGAGCAGGGCAGATGGGAGGGCGGCAATGCCCGCCTATGCTAAGCCAGCGGTGCCCAGTCCCAGTCCAGTCAACAACTACCCTATAGGACTGTGGGCGTTTGGAGTCCGATGGAGAGGACAGGCCGGGGCAAAGCAGAAGTATAAAGCAAGGGGCAGCGCTGAGCTATTCACCTACCTCTGCTTAAGCCCTGCGGGAGCGCTGAGATAGTGACCTGGGCGACAGCGGGCTGTAGAGCTGGAGATAGTGGCAGACAACGGGGATTGTCGTCGAGTGGGAAGGCCGCTGTAGCTGCGCTATGAAGAGGTGCTTGTGTTAGCACAAGAGAGAGAGAGAGAGAGAGAGAAAGAGAGAGAGGGAGGTGGGACAACAAAGGCAGGGTCAGGAGACGGGATACAGGCAAGGAAAACAAACAAAAAAAAAAGGGGGGGGACAGACTGACTGAACCCGGACGAGGGATAGCGCCAGGTACGTTCACAGGAAGAGGGGCTATGGCGGAAGGAGATGATCGTTGTTCACCCACTCCCTGATGGGTGCGGGCAGATAGGACTGTAGACGGGGGTCTGTCGGACAGGCGACGCCGGGGTCGGAGTTAGTATCAGGAGAAGATTAGTGACCAGGGAGTGGGCTGCGTGAAGCCATGGTGGAGATGGCGATGGGGAGATAGAGTACGGGAAGGAAATGTCAGCATCGCCGTTTCTTGATGGAAACGGGTGGAAGGGAGAGGTTTTCCAACGTATTAGGTACGGGCGAGTGAGCTCACAAGGTTAGTCCTGGTGTTAGAAGTGTAGGATAGGAGGTGAGAGGAAAAGACGTGCGAGGAGGTATGGAGAACAGGCTAAGGGAGGAGTGAAAAAATAGATATATCGCTCAACTCTTACCGGAGCCGAGCGAAGCAAAGTACTAGATTGAAGTTTTTAGGTAGGGCAAGTCAGATTGTGCAGTTAGTTTGTGCAATAGAGTGTTGTGTGGGGAGGTAGGAGGGAAAGTAGCTGCGCGGAGGTGGAAGAGGTGAAGAAGAAGGGGAGTGGAAAAGCACATATCTCGCTCGTTCCTTGACGGAATCGAGCGAGGAAGGACTCTAAACAAAGGTTTTGGGGCATTGCGGGTGTGATGGCGACGTCCGTTCGGGCCCGTGAGTAACAGATGGGGCGTCACGATGGTGGAGGGCTGCGCGGGAGAAAATGAGAAATGAGGAGGGTGTATCTTTTCGCAGTCTAGCGGGAGATTCATACTCGTTTTCTTTTTACACTTTTGGTAAGTAGCGAAGCGCAGTCCAACAGCTATGCCCCTGACCGTCGTAGCAATTGCTGGCATCGCTGTCGCTGTGTGGGTCGCCGCCGCCGAGGTTGCCACTGGTCACCCTCACCAACATTGACGTCGTGCTTATTGAAAAGGTCGTCACAGCCTTCGCCATCATGGCTATGGTCGACTTGCTATCAAGGTGTTGAAGCAGGAGAACGTCGTGAATAGCCACCGTGCTGCCTATAATCAATGGCTGTTCGACGTAGGGATGCTCTGCTCCATCAAGGCCACCCCTTCTGGCCCGGATATGCTCTTGATTGTGGTGGTCTTCGGTCTTCCCCTTCCATAAGCATTATGTCGTCTATCGTGGCCGTGCTCCGTGGCAGTTAAGATCGTCTTCGCTGATTCCGACTGAGCCTGGCTGCGTTGATGGCCAGGTGCATTCAGGTGACCGGGGGCTACAAGGCACATAAAAAGGAAACGGACGAGACGGCGAGCCGCGGGCAGCATCTACTGTGTTTTTGCTGCTGAATCAAGGTGCCGGTCTTGTTGCGCTTCCGATACACTTTGCTGAGCACGGAGCGTGGCTGTGGTTGCCATACCCGCTTGCTGTGCACGAGTGGTTGACGAACCCCGTTGTGGTTCACTGTGCAAATTACTGAGCGCACATTTTTAACGGCGGTTGGCTATTTCCACCCCACACAGCTGGCTGTTGGACAGCGATTGCTGTTTACCGCACTTACTAAAGTGCACTCTTGGTCTGGCACCGTCGTTACGATAGGCTGCTACACCAGGCAGTTACTATGGGCCTACGCTACTGGGATTGGTGACCGGGTGTGGGAGTTGGAACAACTTCTTCGGCTGTTGGGCCCGTAAAGTGTTTGTTGCTAGTTTTTCTTTTTTTACAACAAAGACCTACTGCTGGAGGTTTGGGGTCTAACGCTGGTGTAGCTTGGGTGCTATTGCTGAGTTCTCAGACAGTGTTGGCCGGCAGGTTGCTGTTGCGGTGGTAAGGAAGGGCTGGTGTCACACTGTATTTCAAGGCCACTCCTGTGCGTTGCTGCATTGCTACTCTATTTTCAGTTGCTGTTGCGCCCTCTGTTAGCTAGGAGACTACTAGGAGGGGTTGTTCTTGTCAACAGGTTGATGTTGGGGACTGCGGATCCGGACCCGAGTTGTATTGCCGCCATTGAGCCAACACCCTGCTGTTGTTGGGTGGCTACCTCAAGAGGTCAGGAGTCTTGAGCTGGCCTTCCTCGGTCTGATCTTGAAGTTGCGGGTTCCAGTCGAGTGCGCCTGGCCGTACCCTTGAGGCAAATCTGATGTAGCCTATAGAGTCGGTAGGGATCTTAGTCGGAGTCAACACAGCCAGTATACGTGTATAATCCGGTCGCTGTTGCACTTACTGCTTGCTGATGAAACACTTTCTGTTTGCTATTGGGCTTGTCCTACAATTAATACTACGGRTCAATAGAGGTGGTAGCAAAAGGTATTCAGACAGCTTACCTGTAGATTGTGTAAGCCCTTAGTTTAAACGGTTGTAGTACGTGTCTGGCCATTGACAGCGGAGTGAGGGAGTCGGTTGCTGGTATACTGCAGTGGGTCTGTGCAGTCCTAGATGGGTTTCACCATTGGCAGGTGTGGCTGGACCTCGTTGTGTACGGCGGTTGATGACTGAGCACAGTCACTACAGTATTTTCGCTGTGGGCCCGTGAAGAAACTGTGTCCCCCAGGCATCCCGATGCTGTTTTCCCTCGAGAGTTGTTGCACTGTCTCACTGAGCCTGGGCCACTGCGGCGGTTCACTATGCATCCTGGCTGCGGTGACGCCTTTTGCAGCTCCATTGCGTGCCAGGCTACTCGTTGTGACTGTATTCTCTATAGCTGCGGACGCTGGGCTGGAGCAGGCCGCTGCGCTATTCTGAGTACGATGACTGTTTGGACGGCAGGGCTGCAGCCTCATGTTCGGCAGCGAAGGGGTAGTATGAGGAAAGTGACCAGGCTGCAAGGGAGGCTGCTGGCTACCGCTGCTGCTACAAATCTGTGAGTTGTTGTTGCTGGGCTGCAACATAGTAGTGGCCTGGTATTGGAGTGAGGCACTGGGAGTTGCTAGTACGACTGAGATGAGAAGCAGCCTGTTATAGTGATTCGGGTTGTCCTACGACACGGACGCCAGTACTCAGTGCTAAGGGCATATGCTGGCGGGCACAGACTGCTGTTGCTACGATTTGGGGAGCGGTTGTCAGGTCTCCCTTGACCACCGGTGGTCAGATGCTGTGACCGACAAAGTTGGCTCTTGGAAGGAAGTCGCCACCCGTAATGTACTTTATTGAGCGCCTTGCCATGCCTTGCTGCTGTACGTTGCCGTGTCCCTGG